CTAGAGGTCTATAAGCCAACCTCTGAGTAGCAGCTAATGGTTAGCCACTAGACTGATCTACTAGAGGTCTATAAGCCAACCTCTGAGTAGCAGCTAATGGTTAGCCACTAGACTGATCTACTAGAGGTCTATAAGCCAACCTCTGAGTAGCAGCTAATGGTTAGCCACTAGACTGATCTACTAGAGGTCTATAAGCCAACCTCTGAGTAGCAGCTAATGGTTAGCCACTAGACTGATCTACTAGAGGTCTATAGGCCAACCTCTGAGTAGCAGCTAATGGTTAGCCACTAGACTGATCTACTAGAGGTTCTATAAGCCAACCTCTGAGTAGCAGCTAATGGTTAGCCACTAGACTGATCTACTAGAGGTCTATAAGCCAACCGCTGAGTAGCAGCTAATGGTTAGCCACTAGACTGATCTACTAGAGGTCTATAAGCCAACCTCTGATTAGCAGCTAATGGTTAGCCACTAGACTGATCTACTAGAGGTCTATAAGCCAACCTCTGAGTAGCAGCTAATGGTTAGCCACTAGACTGATCTACTAGAGGTCTATAAGCCAACCTCTGAGTAGCAGCTAATGGTTAGCCACTAGACTGATCTACTAGAGGTCTATAAGCCAACCTCTGAGTAGCAGCTAATGGTTAGCCACTAGACTGATCTACTAGAGGTCTATAAGCCAACCTCTGAGTATCCACTAACCACTGACCACTATATATAGACTCTATATATATCTACTGTATAAGGCTGTAATACAGTGCATTCGGAAAGTATTCAGACCCCTTTACTTTTTCCACATTTTGTTACGTTACAGCCTTTATTCTAAAATTGATTAAATTGTTTTTTCCCCTCATCAATCTACACACAATACCCCATAATGACAAGGCAAAAACAGGTTTCTAGACATTTTTGAAAAAATTTAAACTGAAATATTCTATTTACATAAGTATTCAGAGCCTTTACTCAGTACTTTGTTGAAGCACCTTTGGCAGCGATTACAGCATCCAGTCTTCTTGGGTATGACGCTACAAGCTTGGCACACCTGTATTTGGGGAGTTTCTCCAATTCTTCTCTGCAGATCCTCTCAAGCTCTGTCAGGTTGGATGGGGAGCGTCGCTGCACAGCTATTTTCAGGTCTCTCCAGAGATGTTCGATCAGGTTCAAGTCTGGGCTCTGGCTGGGCCACTCAAGGACATTCTGAGACTTGTCCCCGAAGCCACTCCTGCATTGTCTTGGCTGTGTGCTTAAGGTCGTTGTTCTGTTGGAAGGTGAACCTTCACCCCAGTCTGAGGTCCTGAGAGCTCTGGAGCAGGTTTTCATCAAGGATCTCTCTGTACTTTGTTCTGTTCATCTTTCCCTTGATCCTAACTAGTCTCCCAGTCCCTGCTGCTGAAAAAACATCCCCACAGCATGATGCTGCAACCACCATGCTTCACCATGGGGATGGTGCCAGGTTTCCTCCAGAAATGACTCTTGGCATTCAAGCCAAAGAGTTCAAGCTTGGTTCATCAGACCAGAGCATCTTGTTTCTCATGGTCTGAGAGTCCTTTAGGTGCCTTTTGGCAAACTCCAAGCGGGCTGTCATGTGCCTTTTACTGAGGAGTGGCTTCCGTCTGGCCACTCTACCATAAAGGCCTGATTGGTGGGGTGCTGCAGAGGTGGTTGTCCTTAAGGAAGGTTCTCCCATCTCCACAGAGGAACTCTGGAGCTCTGTCAGAGTGACCATTGGGTTCTTGGTCACCTCCCTGACCAAGGCAATTCTCCCTCGATTGCTCAGTTTGGCCGGGCGGCCAGCTCTAGGAAGAGTCTTGGTGGTTCCAAACTTCTTCCATTTAAGAATGATGCAGGCCACTGTGTTCTTGGGGACCTTCAATGCTGCAGAAATGTTTTGGTACCCTTCCCCAGATCTGTGCCTCGCCAGAATCCTGTCTCTGAGCTCTACGGACAATTCCTTCAACCTCACGGCTTGGTTTTTGCTCTGACATGCACTGTCAACTGTGGGACCTTATATAGACAGGTGTGTGCCTTTCCAAATCATGTCCAATCAATTGAATTGAAACATCTCAAGGATGATCAATGGAAACAGGATGCACCTGAGCTCAATTTCGAGTCTCATAGCAAAGGGTCTGAATACTTATGTACATAAGGTATTTCAATAAACCTGTTTTCGCTTTGTCATTATGGATATTGTGTGTAGATTGATGAGGAACACCTTTTATTTAATCAATTTTAGAATAAGGCTGTAACGTAACACAATGTGGAAAAAGGGAAGGGGTCTGAATACTTTCCGAATGCACTGTACATGGACTTATTATAGGTATGTTAATACATAGATCTACTATAGGTCTGTTAATACATAGATCTACTATAGGCCAGTTAATACATAGATCTACTATAGGCCTGTTAATACATAGATCTACTATAGGCCTGTTAATACATAGATCTACTATAGGCCTGTTAATACATAGATCTACTATAGGCCAGTTAATACATAGATCTACTATAGGTCTGTTAATACATAGATCTACTATAGGCCTGTTAATACATAGATCTACTATAGGCCTGTTAATACATAGATCTACTATAGGCCTGTTAATACATAGATCTACTATAGGCCAGTTAATACATAGATCTACTATAGGTCTGTTAATACATAGATCTACTATAGGCCTGTTAATACATAGATCTACTATAGGTCAGTTAATACATATATCTACTATAGGCCTGTTAATACATAGATCTACTATAGGCCTGTTAATACATAGATCTACTATAGGCCTGTTAATACATAGATCTACTATAGGTCTGTTAATACATAGATCTACTATAGGTCTGTTAATACATAGATCTACTATAGGCCTGTTAATACATAGATCTACTATAGGTCTGTTAATACATATATCTACTATAGGCCAGTTAATACATAGATCTACTATAGGTCAGTTAATACATAGATCTACTATAGGTCAGTTAATACATAGATCTACTATAGGTCTGTTAATACATAGATCTACTATAGGCCAGTTAATACATAGATCTACTATAGGTCAGTTAATACATAGATCTACTATAGGCCAGTTAATACATAGATCTACTATAGGTCAGTTAATACATAGATCTACTATAGGTCTGTTAATACATAGATCTACTATAGGCCTGTTAATACATAGATCTACTATAGGCCTGTTAATACATAGATCTACTATAGGTCTGTTAATACATAGATATACTATAGGCCAGTTAATACATAGATCTACTATAGGTCTGTTAATACATAGATCTACTATAGGTCTGTTAATACATAGATCTACTATAGGCCTGTTAATACATATATCTACTATAGGCCTGTTAATACATAGATCTACTATAGGCCTGTTAATACATAGATCTACTATAGGTCTGTTAATACATAGATCTACTATAGGTCAGTTAATACATAGATCTACTATAGGTCTGTTAATACATAGATCTACTATAGGTCTGTTAATACATAGATCTACTATACTGCACTTGTCATCTCCCGTCTGGATTACTGCAACTCGCTGTTGGCTGGGCTCCCTGCCTGTGCCATTAAACCCCTACAACTCATCCAGAATGCCGCAGCCCGTCTGGTGTTCAACCTTCCCAAGTTCTCTCACGTCACCCCCCTCCTCCGCACACTCCACTGGCTTCCAGTTGAAGCTCGCATCCGCTACAAGACCATGGTGCTTGCCTATGGAGCAGTGAGGGGAACGGCACCTCTGTACCTTCAGGCTCTGATCAGTCCCTACACCCAAACGAGGACATTGCGTTCATCCACCTCTGGCCTGCTGGCTCCCCTTCCTCTGCGGAAGCACAGCTCCCGCTCAGCCCAGTCAAAACTGTTCGCTGCTCTGGCACCCCAATGGTGGAACAAGCTCCCTCACGACGCCAGGACAGCGGAGTCACTCACCACCTTCCGGAGACATTTGAAACCCCACCTCTTTAAGGAATACCTGGGATAGGATAAAGTATTCCTTCTAACCCCCCCCCCCCCCCCCAAATTGTAAAGTGGTTATCCCACTGGCTATAGGGTGAACGCACCAATTTGTGAGTCGCTCTGGCTAAGAGCGTCTGCTAAATGACGTTAATGTGCCCTTGAGCAAGGCACTTAACCCTAATTGCTCCTGTAAGTCGCTCTGGTTAAGAGCGTCTGCTAAATGACTAAAATGTAAATGTAAATGTCTATAGGTCTGTTAATACATAGATCTACTATAGGCCTGTTAATACATAGATCTACTATAGGCCTGTTAATACATAGATCTACTATAGGTCTGTTAATACATAGATCTACTATAGGTCTGTTAATACATAGATCTACTATAGGCCTGTTAATACATAGATCTACTTTAGGCCTGTTAATACATAGATCTACTATAGACCTGTTAATACATAGATCTACTATAGGCCTGTTAATACATAGATCTACTATAGGCCTGTTAATACATAGATCTACTATAGGCCTGTTAATACATATATCTACTATAGGCCTGTTAATACATAGATCTACTATAGGTCAGTTAATACATATATCTACTATAGGCCTGTTAATACATAGATCTACTATAGGCCTGTTAATACATAGATCTACTATAGGCCTGTTAATACATAGATCTACTATAGGTCAGTTAATACATATATCTACTATAGGTCTGTTAATACATATATCTACTATAGGTCTGTTAATACATAGATCTACTATAGGTCAGTTAATACATAGATCTACTATAGGCCTGTTAATACATAGATCTACTATAGGCCTGTTAATACATAGATCTACTATAGGTCTGTTAATACATATATCTACTATAGGTCTGTTAATACATAGATCTACTATAGGTCTGTTAATACATAGATCTACTATAGGCCTGTTAATACATAGATCTACTATAGGTCTGTTAATACATAGATCTACTATAGGCCTGTTAATACATAGATCTACTATAGGCCTGTTAATACATAGATCTACTATAGGTCTGTTAATACATAGATCTACTATAGGCCGGTTAATACATAGATCTACTATATGTCAGTTAATTATTATTTTATCTTTTAGACGGCGAGGAAATATAAGACATGTTCAGTGCGGCCCTCCGGACCTCGTTGAAGACCGAATGCGGCCCCTGGGGCTAAATGAGTTGAGTAAATGACAGCCCTGTTATGAGTCTTTACACCGCCCTGAGTGTTATGAGTCTTTACACCGCCCTGAGTGTTATGAGTCTTTACGCCGCCCTGAGTGTTATGAGTCTTTACACCGCCCTGAATGTTATGAGTCTTTACACCGCCCTGAGTGTTATGAGTCTTTACGCCGCCCTGAGTGTTATGAGTCTTTACGCCGCCCTGAGTGTTATGAGTCTTTACACCGCCCTGAGTGTTATGAGTCTTTACGCTGCCCTGAGTGTTATGAGTCTTTACACCGCCCTGAGTGTTATGAGTCTTTACACTGCCCTGAGTGTTATGAGTCTTTACGCCGCCCTGAGTGTTATGAGTCTTTACACTGCCCTGAGTGTTATGAGTCTTTACACCACTTTGTTTTGGTTTATTTGAATGTCAATTAGGGCGTCTCTCTCTCTCTCTCTCTCTCCCTCCCTCCCTCCCTCCCTCCCTCCCTCCCTCCCTCCCTCCCTCCCTCCCTCCCTCCCTCTCCCTCTCCCTCCCTCCCTCCCTCCCCAGCTTTGTCTAACGTCTTTCATCTAGTCTACATCACCAACTACTTAACCCACCAATGCTCCTCCTACTGACAGAGAGAGAACTCCTACCCACCAATGCTCCTCCTACTGACAGAGAGAGAACTCCTATCCACCAATGCTCCTCCTACTGACAGAGAGAGAACTCCTATCCACCAATGCTCCTCCTACTGACAGAGAGAGAACTCCTATCCACCAATGATCCTCCTACTGACAGAGAGAGAACTCCTATCCACCAATGCTCCTCCTACTGACAGAGAGAGAACTCCTATCCACCAATGCTCCTCCTACTGACAGAGAGATAACTCCTATCCACCAAATCTCCTCCTACTGACAGAGAGAGAATTCCTATCCACCAATGCTCCTCCTACTGACAGAGAGAGAACTCCTATCCACCAATGCTCCTCCTACTGACAGAGAGAGAACTCCTATCCACCAATGCTCCTCCTACTGACAGAGAGAGAACTCCTATCCACCAATGCTCCTCCTACTGACAGAGACAGAACTCCTATCCACCAATGCTCCTCCTACTGACAGAGAGAGAACTCCTATCCGCCAATGCTCCTCCTACTGACAGAGAGAGAACTCCTACCCACCAATGCTCCTCCTACTGACAGAGAGAGAACTCCTATCCACCAATGCTCCTCCTACTGACAGAGAGAGAACTCCTATCCACCAATGCTCCTCCTACTGACAGAGAGAGAACTCCTATCCACCAATGCTCCTCCTACTGACAGAGAGAGAACTCCTATCCACCAATGCTCCTCCTACTGACAGAGAGAGAACTCCTATCCACCAATGCTCCTCCTACTGACAGAGAGAGAACTCCTACCCACCAATGCTCCTCCTACTGACAGAGAGAGAACTTCTACCCACCAATGCTCCTCCTACTGACAGAGAGAGAACTCCTATCCACCAATGCTCCTCCTACTGACAGAGAGAGAACTCCTATCCGCCAATGCTCCTCCTACTGACAGAGAGAGAACTCCTATCCACCAATGCTCCTCCTACTGACAGAGAGAGAACTCCTATCCGCCAATGCTCCTCCTACTGACAGAGAGAGAACTCCTATCCACCAATGCTCCTCCTACTGACAGAGAGAGAACTCCTATCCACCAATGCTCCTCCTACTGACAGAGAGAGAACTCCTATCCACCAATGCTCCTCCTACTGACAGAGAGAGAACTCCTATCCACCAATGCTCCTCCTACTGACAGAGAGAGAACTCCTACCCACCAATGCTCCTCCTACTGACAGAGAGAGAACTCCTACCCACCAATGCTCCTCCTACTGACAGAGAGAGAACTCCTACCCACCAATGCTCCTCCTACTGACAGAGAGAGAACTCCTATCCACCAATGCTCCTCCTACTGACAGAGAGAGAACTCCTACCCACCAATGCTCCTCCTACTGACAGAGAGAGAACTCCTACCCACCAATGCTCCTCCTACTGACAGAGAGAGAACTCCTACCCACCAATGCTCCTCCTACTGACAGAGAGAGAACTCCTACCCACCAATGCTCCTCCTACTGACAGAGAGAGAACTCCTATCCACCAATGCTCCTCCTACTGACAGAGAGAGAACTCCTACCCACCAATGCTCCTCCTACTGACAGAGAGAGAACTCCTATCCACCAATGCTCCTCCTACTGACAGAGAGATAACTCCTATCCACCAATGCTCCTCCTACTGACAGAGAGAGAACTCCTATCCACCAATGCTCCTCCTACTGACAGAGAGATAACTCCTATCCACCAATGCTCCTCCTACTGACAGAGAGAGAACTCCTATCCGCCAAGCACCCTTTTCTCTCTGGCTCATCTTCAACGCATCACACTAACCGCTAACTGAGCTAGCGGTTGTCATTTCCCATCGTCTCTTTTCTATCCTGCCATAAGCGTGTTAAGGACAAACGGACCATTTAATGTGATCGTGTGCATCCCAAATGGCACCCTATTCCCTATCAAGTGCACTACGAGTGCCCCTATGGGCCCTATTTGGGAAAGGGGTGCCATTTTGGACGCTCCCATTGTGAGTTGAGTTTCTTCACAGTTGTTTTCACCCAGTGGCGTATCTCGCCTGACTCCGTCTTCATCGGATCAGACAAGCATTATTTTTTTCTGCGGTGAAAGAGAGGCAGAAAGCCATCTTGGGATTGTTCTCCATTGTTTTGGTTGTTCATCCGGAACATTTTGACTAATGGGATCTTTGTGAATATAGCTGGGAAAAAAATGTAACGTCTCAATCTGAACGAAAGACCTACTAAATAAAAGGGGACTGAATCAAAAGGGTTATTCCTTCGATGGCATATTACTGTCCTGTTTCAGCTGGGGTTTGTCTGGCTAAATAGTAAAGTTGTGAAGTTCAACATGGAACAAATGATGACGTTATTAATACAAACTAATAAGCCTTAATTTCTTAGTTTGTAGAGTTGGTTGCATTCAGTCCATCTAAGCCAGTGGTTTATGTAATACTATGGCTTTCAAACTTGCACTAATGTTCTCTCTTAGTAAGAGGGTGATGGTTATATCTACTGTTCTCTCTTAGTGAGAGGGTGATGGTTATATCTACTGTTCTCTCTTAGTAAGAGGGTGATGGTTATATTTAATGTTCTCTCTTAGTAAGAGGGTGATGGTTATATCTACTGTTCTCTCTTAGTAAGAGGGTGATGGTTATATCTACTGTTCTCTCTTAGTGAGAGGGTGATGGTTATATCTACTGTTCTCTCTTAGTGAGAGGGTGAGGGTTATATCTACTGTTCTCTCTTAGTGAGAGGGTGAGGGTTATATCTACTGTTCTCTCTTAGTGAGAGGGTGATGGTTATATCTAATGTTCTCTCTTAGTGAGAGGGTGAGGGTTATATCTACTGTTCTCTCTTAGTGAGAGGGTGATGGTTATATCTACTGTTCTCTCTTAGTGAGAGGGTGATGGTTATATCTACTGTTCTCTCTTAGTGAGAGGGTGATGGTTATATCTACTGTTCTCTCTTAGTGAGAGGGTGATGGTTATATCTACTGTTCTCTCTTAGTGAGAGGGTGATGGTTATATCTACTGTTCTCTCTTAGTGAGAGGGTGATGGTTATATCTACTGTTCTCTCTTAGTGAGAGGGTGATGGTTATATCTACTGTTCTCTCTTAGTGAGAGGGTGATGGTTATATCTACTGTTCTCTCTTAGTGAGAGGGTGATGGTTATATCTACTGTTCTCTCTTAGTGAGAGGGTGAGGGTTATATCTACTGTTCTCTCTTAGTGAGAGGGTGATGGTTATATCTACTGTTCTCTCTTAGTGAGAGGGTGATGGTTATATCTACTGTTCTCTCTTAGTGAGAGGGTGATGGTTATATCTACTGTTCTCTCTTAGTGAGAGGGTGAGGGTTATATCTACTGTTCTCTCTTAGTGAGAGGGTGATGGTTATATCTACTGTTCTCTCTTAGTGAGAGGGTGAGGGTTATATTGAGAGCCTTTCGGCTATTGAAAGAACACAGATTGAGAACCATGGGCCCCATTTCCTATCTGAAGTACTTTGCCTGGCTAGTATATAACATTTATACATACTGTATCGTTAGGACACATTTCCTCCCCAGACCTGATCTAAGACGGTGAGGTCTGAATGGCTAATGTCCTTCTGTGGAGGATGGAGATCATCGTACCTTATTGGTCGGACACAAATAAATAATACCGTATAACGAACCAGGATAACCTCTTTAGAGAAACAAGACGGTAGAATGAACCAGGATAACCTCTTTAGATTTCTCAGACACACTTCCTGTTTCTCTGTCTCTCTCTCTGGAGTCCAGACTCAGCCTCTATCCCAATTCCCACTCATGTGCACTATGCACTCATTGACCTGTTCACTCTTCCTCAATTATCTAAAAGCATTGATGTTGTGCAATAAATATAATAATAATATGCCATTTAGCAGACGCTTTTATCCAAAGCGACTTACAGTCATGCGTGCATAATTTTTTTTTGTGTATGGGTGGTCCCAGGGATCGAACCCACTACCTTGGCGTTACAAGCGCCGTGCTCTACCAGCTGAGCTACAGAGGACCACAATATGTTAGACAGTGATCAAGAAAGGGGGAGGGGTACTGGTCTAATGAGCCTGTCCAGATCTGCCTGGTCTATAAACAGAACAACTGACAACGAACTACAATATATTCGGTAGTTTTTTGCATAGAACTACAATATAACATTATTCTATAGGATCCTATAGCTTTTGAAGAAATACAGCTCCAAAACATATTTCCTCAAGTCCGTGGAGAGATCGTTAAAACGCATGATATAGGCTCCATCTCTTCACACACATCCTAATGCAGCATTACTAGCAGCACATACGAGCATGGAGTCGTAATGGAGCTAAAACAATGGTCATAAAAGACAGAAAGCAGAAAGCTAACTGTGTTTGCTTTAAGATGCTTAATGCATGGGGCATAAACAAGTCCCTAACGTCTAAATTATCCAAATCCCTCAGCGTTGGAGAGGAAAAAAAAATAAAAATCCCCCCTCCCATCACACATCAAAGAGGAATTCCTTACCCAATCAAAGCCTTTAAAATGTGTCAAGGTTCAACATGGGGGCTAAGTCCCAAATGGCTCCCTGTTCCCTATATAGTGTATTACTAATGACCAGGGCCAATAAGGCTCGGATCCAAAGTCGTGCGCTACTGTATATAGGGAATAGGGTGCAACTTGGGACGCGGACATGGAAATATAAACCTTTGTTGTTCCCCAAAACACTTTGTTGTTGCTCCACACCACAACATCACACAGATATTGTATTGGGGTACGAAATATGAAATGCAACTTGTCTCTTATAGAGAACGATGAAGGGAGGGAGGGAGGGAGAGAGAGGAGAGAGAGAGAGAGAGAGAGAGAGAGAGGATAGAGAGAGATGGCGAGAGAGAGAGAGAGAGAGAGAGAGAGAGAGAGAGAGAGAGAGAGAGAGAGATTTAAAGGTACTGAGAGGCTGACCCATGACTAAAGGTACTGAGTGGGCCTCCATCTATCCACACCCCCCAGGTTGCCCCAGCCCTGCATGCCCGCAACGGGGCCTCTCAGTCAGGTAACATGGAGAGCAAGCCCCCCCCCCCCCCCCCCCCTCCCCTTCTTCCACACCCCCCCAGGTCGCTCCAGCCCTGCATGCCCACCATGGGGCCTCAGTCGGTAACACTGAGAGCAAGCCCTCCCTCCCATTGGTTCTCCACAGGCTACACCCTGGGATGCCTGTTATCAATGCCTGTGAACAGCAGTATTGAGAGCTGCATAATATGGCGCTACAGGAAGTGTAGGCTGGAGCAGATAGCAACATGTATAAAGTGGCGCTAGCAAGAGTATAAACATATAAACATGGACATTATCAATGCATCTACATAGTTCCTATCTCAGATTCACCGCACAGCTAGACTAGACTCTGCTTTGGCAACTGATCTACACAAACAGTCTGAAGACAGAAGATGACCATGTGTTTCCTAAACACCGAAAGATAGCGCGGAAGTTAGCCTAGCGGTTAGGAGCGTTGAGCCAGTAACCGGAAGGTCGCTGGTTTAAATCCCCGAGCCGATTAGGTGAGACATCTGTTGGTGTGCCCTTGAGCAAGGCATTTAACCCTAATTGCTCCTGTAAGTCGCTCTGGATAAGAGCGTCTGCTAAATGAGTGAAATGTCATCGTGATTGGTTGTTGTTATAACAACTGGTTACTCAATACACATCATGTCTTGATTGTATTAATCTAATTTTTTTTTTTTTTTTTTTTTTTAGTCATTTAGCAGACGCTCTTATCCAGAGCGACTTACAGTTAGTGAATATTTTATTTTATTTTTTATACTGGCCCCCCGTGGGAATCGAACCCACAACCCTGGCGTTGCAAACGCCATGCTCTATCAACTGAGCTACATCCCTGCCGGCCATTCCCTCCCCTACCCTGGACGACGCTGGGCCAATTGTGCGCCGCCCATGAGTCTCCCGGTCGCGGCCGGCTGCGACAGAGCCTGGATTCGAACCAGGATCTCTAGTGGCACAGTTAGCACTGCGATGCAGTGCCTTAGACCACTGCGCCACTCAGTTGAGCTGCCTTTCTTTCTGGTCCTGATGAGAGGGGGAAAAAATCAGTCGGGGGAGGTTCTCTTCTGCACTGTTGAACCAATCCAGTAAATGTGGAGGAGGAGTTAAGATGGAGTGTCACAGGCTCTCGTTCCTTTTCTCCTGAAAAAGCGGATGCATCATTGTTCAGTTTTAAAGTGGTCCTCTGTAGCTCAGCTGGTAGAGCACGGCGCTTGTAACGCCAAGGTAGTGGGTTCGATCCCCGGGACCACCCATACACAAAAAAATATGTATGCACGCATGACTGTAAGTCGCTTTGGATAAAAGCGTCTGCTAAATGGCATATTATTATTATTATATTATATTATTATAAAGAAGTCCACTTCTGAAGCAGAGCTCATAATATTGTATGAGGTCACTGTTGTTGTGACACACATCAACCACATTCTGTTGGGAGGGACTCCTCCACAGACTCTCATACAGTCAACAAGATGTAGTCCCTGGATGCATCCCAAATGGCACCCTATTCCCTATTTAAAAAAAAAGGTAGTTCACTACATAGGGAAAAGGGTGCTATTTGGGACACACACCTATTCCCAAGGGAAACTTAACACACAGTAAAACACATCCAATCGTTCTTGGAAACTCTGTAGCTGAAGTGGTCCGATGAAGCGGATGCTAAGCTACAGGACTGTTTTGCTAGCACAGACTGGAACATGTTCCGGGATTCATCTGATAACATTGAGGAGTCTACCACATCAGTCACTGGCTTCATTAATAAATGTATCGACAACGTCGTCCCCAATGACCGTACGTACATATCCCAACCAGAAGCCATGGATTACAGGCAACATCCGCACTGAGCTAAAGAGCTGCCGCTTTCAAGGAGCGGGACAGTAATGCGGCCGATTTTGAGAAATCCCGCTACGACCTCCGATGAGACAACAAACAGGCAAAGCGTCAATACAAGACTAAGATCGAATCCTACTCCGTGGCACTGACGCTTCACATATGTGGCAGGGCTTGCAAACTATCACAGATTACAAAGTGAAATCCAGCCGTGAACTGCCTAGCGACGCGAGCCTACCAGACGAGCTAAATGCCTCCTATGCTTGCTTCGAGGCAAGCAACACTGAACCATGAATGAGAGCACCAACTGTTCTGGACGACTGTGTGATTTCGCTCTCCGTAGCCAATGTGAGTAAGACCTTTAAACAGGTTAACATTCGAAATGCCGCGGGGCCTGACGGAATACCAGGACGTGTACTCAGAGCATGCGCTGACCAGCAAGCAAGTGTCTTCACTGAGATGTACAACCTATCCCTGACCCGGTCTGTAATACGAAACTGTTTTCAAGCAAACCGCCATAGTCCCTGGAGCCCAAGAACACCAAGGTAACCTGCCTAAATCACAATCACCCAATAGAACTCACATCTAAAGCCATGAAATGCTTTGAAAGGCTGGTCATGGCTCACATCAACACCATCATCCCAGACAACCTGAACCCACTCCAATTTGCATACCGCTCCAACAGATCCACAGATGACGCAGCCTCTATTGAACTCCACACTGCCCTTTCCCACCTGGACAAAAGGAACACCTATATAAGAATCCTGTTCATTGGCTAGAGCTCAGCATTCAACACCATAGTCCCCCCCCCCCCCCCCCAAGCTCAGGACACTGGGACTGAACATCTCCCTCTGCAACTGGATCCTGGACTTCCTGATGGGCCGCCCCCCCAGGCAGTGAGTGTAGGTAACAACACATCTGCCACGCTGACCATCAACACAGGGGCCCCTCAGGGGTGTGTGCTTAGTCCCCTTCTGTACTCCCTGTTTACCCACAACTGCATGGCCGCGCACGACTCCAACACCATCATCAAGTTTGCTTACAACACGACGTTGGTAGGACTGATCACCGACGACAATGAGGCAGGCTACAGGGAGGAGGTCATAGACCTGGCAGTGTGTTGCCAGGACAACGTCTCCCTCAACGTCAGCAAGACAAAGGAGCTGATGGTGGACTACAGGAAAAGGAGGGGTTAGCACGCCCCCATCCACATCGACGGGGCTGTAGTGGAGCGGGTCGAGAGCTTCAAGTTCCTCGGTGTCCACACGACAACGCCGGGAGGCTGAAAATATTTGGCATGGGTCCTCAGATCCTCCAAAAGCTGCACCATCGAGAGCATCTTGACTGGCTGCTTCACCGCCTGGTACGGCAACTGCAAGGCACCCGACCGGAAGGCGATACAGAGGGTGGTGAGTATGGCCCAGTTTATCACTGGGGCCGAGCTCCCTGCCGTCCAGGACCTCTATACCAGGCGGTGTCAGAGGAAGGCCCAAAATATTGCCAAAGACATCCAGCCACCCAAGCCACAGACTGTTATCTCTGCTACCGCACGGCCAGTGCAACAAGTCTGGAACCAACAGGACCTTGAACAGCTTCTACCCCCAAGCCATAAGACTGCTAAACAAGACTGCCAAATAGCTAATCAAATGGCAACCCGGACTACCTGGATTGACCCTTTTTTTGCACTGACTCTATGCACACAAACTGGACTCTACCCACATGTAACGGACATGAGTCAGTCACGGTCACGTGGCCGCGACCAGGAGACTCATGGGCGGCGCACAATTGGCCTAGTGTCGTTCAGGGTAAGGGAGGGAATGGCCGGCAGGGATGTAAAAAAAATATGTACACTCACTAACTGTAAGTCGCTCTGGATAAGAGCGTCTGCTAAATGACTAAAATGTAAAATGTAAAATGTAAAATGAGGTAGCCCCGCCTGCGAACTTCAAAAACCAGTGTCTGCCATCGTGATTTGATTTGTAGCTTAGGTTTTCTCAGAACACCTGAAGAGTAGCTTTACCATTAAGGTGTTCCGATACTGACATTAGTGAAATAGCCCTAGTGTAGCCAGGCCTACAGGGTTCTGCCCGATCTGTATTGGACCACTCAGTGGCTGTGTCTAAAGTAGTCTACTATATCACTATATAGGGAATAGGGGGCCATTTGGGATGCAGGTAGTTATTCCTCTCTGATTCTCTCTAACCATACTGCTGCCTAAGGGGGGCAATTGCCCTGACATTTGTTAACTCATTGTTTTTTCATTTCGTTCCTCTTCATTAAAATTCCATTGCAAATTTTCTTTCCAACTCTCGCTTTCTCCCCATCCCCCCATGCTCTCGGGTGTTTGCAGTGTGATGGATTTCCATGGATGGGTGGAGAGCGTGTGCCAGGCGGGCTGCAGAAGCCCCACGTATTTCTGACGTCCGGGGCCGACCTTTGGTGCTTGGTCCTGGGGGGCGGTCATCAGCCCGCTGTCCCCCTCCCTCTGTGAAGGTCAGAAGGCCTCCACCACCCTCATACCAACAATCTGCTCTGTCGCCTCAACCTAACTCTCATTTACACTCTCTCTGTCTGCCTCTCTTTCCCTCTCTCTCTCCCTGCCTCTCTTTCTCTCTTGCTCTCTCCCCCTCCCTCTCACTTTCTACCTCCCCCCTCCCTCCTCACTCCCCCTCTCTCCCCTCCCTCCCCCCTCTCGCCTCTCTCTCCCCTCCCTCCCGCCTCTCTCCCCTCCCTCCCCCCTCTCTCCTCACTACCCCCCCCTCTCCTCTCTCACTCTACCTCCCTCCTCTCTCCTCTCTCCCCCTCTCTACCTCCCCCTCTCTCCCCCCTCTCTCCTCTCTTCCTCTCACGCTCCACCTCCCCCCTCTCTCCTCTTCCCCCCTCCCCCTCCCAGTAGAGTGCGGTAGGCTGAATAATCTCTCAGCCCAAAGCCAGCTAGCTGTAATCCCATGACAAAACATTGACTGATAATTGCCTCTAAAAGTTTACCACAGACAGGCTGGATCTACACCACCACGCCTGTTTAACCCTCCATGTGTGTTATTTAACCTTCCATATGTGTTATTTAATAGTTTTGATGTCTTCACTATTATTCTACAATGTAAAAAAAAGTACAAATAAAGAAAAACCATTGAATGAGTAGATGTGTCCAAACCTTGACTGGTAGTGTACATAATAATACACATTATCAGTGGATGTCTGGGTATTTGAGTTTTGGCAATGTGTTGGCATTAATTAATAACTAATCACTGCCATACATGAT